TAAACCGTTTTACTACATTTTCGCGTATTCTTGTGATCACGTGACTTGGTATTTGCATAATTTAAAAAAATTGCCATATTTTCAAAGTTTGAAACAAGATCTTTATTATTGTATATAACATGTATGGGTAAAATGTATGTTTCAGTCTGTAAATTGAGGCCAAAAAATTGAACCAGCGAACGTATGCTAACCCCTTAAATGGTACTTCTCTTTCTAAAATATGTGGTGGCTGTTTGGTTTGTGTGGCACACGCGTATGTGAAAGTTTGGGGTGTGGCTTATATTGCAGGGTTTCTCTGGGATCAAGAAACAATGTCTCAAGTTAGGATTGCAGTTTCTATTAAACCTACGGCCTCAATTATGATTTTTTACGGTAGTTTACAATTACCAAATTTAGTAGCTATGTACGAGTAATTTAAAAGAAGAAAAGTCTGCTCACCCCATTTATTATAAAACAAAATGTGATCCAATCAAAAATCGGGCCTTTCGCTGCTCAGAACCAGTCAGCTGGCGTACAAATGATAAGATAAACGAGATTAATTCACTGATATTTACTATATAGAGGTAGCCATCTTGAATATGGCTTAAAACTGAAGAGACAAGTTGAGAAATGTGAAAAATAACAAACTTTAGATTAGTTTTAAAAATTGTTCTTGGGTATGGATGTACACATGCCTACATGGTTCTGGTGATTCTTTTTGCAGGCCATGGCAAGCAAAACAGATTATGGTCCTAAAAGAGTTTTAAAAGAGACTAATCAGCAAACATCGTCAAAACCTGAAGCTAAATTTGCAAAACCACTACCACAGAATGAGCCAGCTCAAGGTCCTGGTAACCATACAAGGTAAGGTTTAATACAGTATTTGATTTATTAGTAGTGAGTAAATGACATACTAAGTGTTTTTCAGTATACAAAAAAAAGCAATTTTCTTGCGCCTGCGTTAGAAAAAAATGTATGTACAAATAAATGTATTGTTTTACCTACATATTTCAAATAAGTGTTGCCAACTAGTGTTATCCCCAGACTTGAATGATTCATTACGAAAAACAGTGAGTCATGCAATGGATTTTTTATTATCATTAAAATTTTGAATAAAGGTAAATTTAAGCTTTGCCTTAAATGCAAATCACTAATCAAGATGGCAAAGTTGTAACTTCGCAGAGGATTTTCCGCCAGTTTCCCTAAAATGTGAATATTTTTGTTTTATTTCTTTTACGTGAAGATTGAATATCACCAATTGTCGGAGCGTGGTGAATATTGGAATTTAGTTGCCATGCAATAGTCAATTTATGGGATAGACGTCATTTTCATAAAGTGGGCATTATCTCAGTTTGTGTTTTCTGGTTGATCAGAGAGATTGAAACTTAATTAACTCTCAGTTTTTGTCAGTTTGACCTGAAATTTTCAAACTATTTGGACATCTTGCTAAGCGTTCAAAAGAGAATGTTTGTTTTCTATAATTTAAAATTGTTTTTTAGTATCTTTCACTAGTCGAGACTGTCAGAGTAAGAAAAAAAAAATTCACTCAAATGCCCAGGAACCTGCATCTGTTTGTATTTTGATGTTGTCAGTTATCAATTGAAAAACACCACTGTTACATTTGATGAGTAATAGTGTTGCCAGTAGATAGTGAACTAGTGCTGTACCACACACACATTTTTTCTGACTTTTTTGCTATTTGGTGAAAACATTTAAACAAATTACAACACTGTGGGTTGACGACTGAGCTGTATTTTATCAGACGTCGTCGAGCATGTTCAATTTGTAGACTTGTGGATAACGCAACGTCTTGTAGTATGTAACTCGTCTAACACAGTTTGTTGACTAAAGTTTAGAACAATACGAAAAACTACAATCTTGAGCTCATGAAAACTACAAAAGAAGAACGTAATCGAACAGTAATAAAGTTGATATGCAGACTCTTTCTGGTATCGGTCTCTGATTGGTCATGTTTGTCGATAATATTTAGCGTTCTCGCTACATCCAATCACAATGCATCGGCTATAAAAATGAATTGTAAATTTACAGTATTTAAATTTTTTTATATACATGTACTTGAATTTTACAAGTAGGGGAAAGCAGAACATCGGCCAATGCTCACATCCAGGGGGACTTCTTTCTATTGTTTTCGAAGTTTATTACATCAGAATCTGTATTTTTTTTTTTTGGTATCATAGCATAATGAAGTCGTATAATCCTCCCATCATCTTAACATCTTGTTTCATTTTGTAGGAAAAAGTGGACTTTAAGTGACTTTGATATTGGTCGACCACTTGGCAAAGGAAAATTCGGAAATGTTTATTTGGCTCGCGAGAAGAAAAGTAAATTCATCCTAGCGTTGAAAGTTCTCTTCAAGTCCCAGTTACAAAAGGCTGGAGTAGAACATCAGCTTAGAAGAGAAATTGAAATACAGTCTCACCTTAGGTTGGTACATTTTAGTTTCTTGTCCTACAGGTATACATGTGATTTTTGAACCAGGTTAAATCTTACCGAAATATTGTTTCAGACATTATTGGTCAAGTATTTTGTTGAAATCAATCGCGAGGGGACCGTAGAAGAATTGACACACAACACGCGCTCTAATATAGAGAATAACACACAAAAGATGGCCATACATTTATTTTTTTGCCCAGGGCCCCTGGTAAATTGTCATCTTGCATCGTAATCTCAGAAGTTCACTTTATTATCACAAAACTGTGGATTTCAATAAATGACATGCTCCAGAGATCTAGACACAAGTCTGTCTATTTCCACTTGCAAGTGATTAAAAATACAATAGTAGTATAAAGCATATATACTATGCTTTAATTGCCCACATTTCGATGGTGGTTCTCACAAATTGACACTACGACACATAAAATGTTTTATTAAAAATACAAATCTGTTTTGTCATTGTCACTCATAATTACCCTACCCGGTATTCTTATTTCTAGGCATCCAAATATTTTGAGAATGTATGGATATTTCTACGATGACATTAGAGTGTACCTTATTCTAGAGTTTGCACCTCAGGGAGAACTATACAAAGAATTGCAGAAACGTGGAAGGTTTGATGAAAAAAGATCTGCTACAGTAAGTATACAAATCAAAGAATGATCAGTAGCAGGTGAAAGTTATGAGTATTATTCAATTGCAATTCAACTCACTGGTTTTTATTGTCTGGACTGAGTTTGTGTTTCACTTAATACAAAAAAAACAATCTTGTACTGGACTGAGCATGTTACTTCACATGTTAACTTCCACTAAATCAATAAGTTGATCGTAATTTTTTTTGAAAGGATTTTAAAAAAATTAGGATATACATCAATGAGTTTTTCATACCGTGTCACCAAGAGAATCTTACTATATAAAGAAAAAATTTCACCGGAGAAATGTGTGCAAGAAAGCAAACAGCTCTTGTTTTTCAAAAAAATTGACTGGGTACCCTGATTTTGCTTGATACATCTTGAAATGAACTTTCTGCAACAAGATCTGTAATATTGTAATATTCCTTTATATCTCCATAGTATGTAGGTCAGTTGGCAGATGCTTTAAAATATTGTCATGCAAAAAAAGTTATCCACAGAGATATAAAACCTGAGAATTTACTATTAGGCCTGAGAGGTGATTTGAAAATTGCTGACTTTGGTTGGTCTGTGCATGCACCATCATCAAGGTAGGTTATATTGTATTGTACCATTTTAATAGAAGCCGCGAACTGCTGTTTTAGGGTATAACGTAAACTTGCATTCCTGATATTGTGCTTCTGGGTGTTCCAATCGATGCCACAAAAATAAAATTCCCTTCTGTCGTCTATCAGCATACTGACATGTTTGTATTTTCTTTATCTGATTCATTCAACCCAAAACTTCGTCTTCATCTCAAAAATTTGCTTATGACACAATGCACATCACTCAAAAAATAAGTTCAACGATCACCCACAATTATCGCCGCCTCACAGCAGAACACTCTTGGCAATTCAGCACAAGACACCATACACCAATTTGACCGTGAACACTGACAGACATAGCGTAAATTTCCACTAAATTATCAAAATGTGGCAGAGAGTCCAACAACAACTTTCAAACAGTCACCATTAATAAAATCTTCTGTCTCCTCTCAAAATCACGCCCTCTATCAGTCATGAACTTTTACTTTCGTTTATGCGTATCTCTATCAGATCTATGTAAAATACATGGCTTCACTAATTCCTAACACATGTTACGTCTTATTTTAACCATGGATTCGCCTCTGGTATCTACTTAGATATTGACACAAGAAATTTGAGGGCATAACTAAAATGTTTTATCTCTATTTTACAGACGTGCAACATTATGCGGTACATTAGACTACTTGCCACCTGAGATGATAGAGGGTAGAATGCATGATGAGAAGGTGGACTTGTGGAGTTTAGGTGTACTATGTTATGAATTTCTAGTTGGTAAACCACCATTTGAAGCAGAAGGACATAGTGAAACCTACAGGAAAATCTCAAAAGTAGATTTTAGATATCCATCCTTTGTTACAGATGGTGCTAGGGATCTTGTGTCCAAGGTAAGAAAATACACAAAAATACCACAATTGCTCTATTAAAAAAGCATCTCAAATGAAAAAGGCCTTGTAATCTGAAATTTGTGAACCAACTCTAACACTGTAATTTTTTATGCTTATGACTAACACTTTTGGGACAGCAATTCTGTGAAATTTAGCTTAAAAAAAAAGTTGAAATTTTGAAAAAACAAACTCAAGTTACATGAACTAGTTTAGAATTAGGTCTGTAAATTTAATGCTAAGGAAATCGTAATTTATTTGAATTCTTCCCCCTCAGTAAAATGTGATTTATTTGTTGTGCTTTCAAAATTACCATATTTTTACTAGTTGGCCACGTCCACATCTTTTGCTATATAATTTTTGACACTGCATATTATGGTGAAATGTTCACCCTAATATCCACTGCATTATCTGGCTTGCAGCTTAAATTGAGACATTTGAATTCATTACAGAATATTTAAACATCTTTTAGTGTTTGTTCACTTGACTTTTTATTTAAATTGCAGTTGTTAAGACATAATCCAGCTATGCGACTGTCTTTGGATGGAGTGCTTAATCATCCTTGGATCAAAGAACATGGTGTTTTGTCAGAACCAACATCGTCTTCATCGTGACATCTTTAAATTCACCCATACTCTCCCCTGTATATACCACCAACATCTTGTCCTGTGTGGTTGTTGATATGTATGCTAGGAACAAATCTGCATTTGTAAACGCTTCCTCTCTATTTATATATTAGTTATCAAAAACAATATTACTGCAGAAATAATTCATTTACATTGTAATGGCATGAAAATGAATAAAAAAAAATTTAATAGAATTTGCAGTAAATGTGAAATGTCTTTTTGAACCATTCTTTCAAAATAGTTGTTTCTTCTAATCATGTCATGCAATTTACTTTTTTGTTTTATACACGTTTCTTGTATTCTTTGTTACAATAACACTCCAAAAATGTTTAATATAACGCTGATCTGACAAAACAGTTTTTCCAATACTAATGAAAATTCTCAAATGTTGCTCTGACATGCAATTTCTTTATTCATATGAACAGATTTTGTCTGATCTGAATATTGCAGTCTGGGTGGGAGCATAATAGTAACATAATTTAGTTTTGCCTGCTTTATTATTTTTTTTCCCTTCCTATTTCTTGTTTTTGTGTTATGTAAAATCTATTTGTGAAATTGTAAATTCATCTAATACTTTATAGTATACAGATTTTATGATGCTACATAGTTTGTAGAGTTGATCTATTTGTCATTCAAAATAAATTGTTTTTTTTATCACAAGTGTTTGTTTTGTCTCTGTGTGTTCAACTGTGGGAAAATAAATATTCCCTACTGTTCAGGAGTATAAATAAAATGATCAGATTAAGCGTTTTTCGCAAGATTGCACATCCAAACAAATATCGCAATATGGTAGCCCGTTTTTCCCTTGAACTGCATATGAAATTAAGTTCAGGTGCAAAGGCTTGCTGCTTTTCAGCAAGTTTGACATCTGTAGATTATGTTATTACGAGGATCAGGGATTTTTTTAAACAGGGATGCAGCGCCCTCATCCCATGGCCATGTGCCCCTTTATCCTGGAGAGCAGATCCTCTGACAACCATAAAATTGTGACCTGTCTGATAGTTATTTTGGCCCCAAGGAAGCCATAGAATGCTCAATTTTAACTAAGAATTATCAAAAACTCTACACCCTGTTGGGGAGAACCCCTCCCACTTGGTAGCGCAGATGAATTGCAGTGCTCTCTTGCAGTTTTTTTTCTAGAAAAACCCCTTGGGATACCTCAAAGTATGCACGAAGACAGCACAGCGAAAGTAACGATGTGACGAAGTACTGTCCGAGAGCATACTTTGAGGTATCCTCGTAATAACATTTTCCTTCCAAGAATACATCACAGGAATGTCGAAGTTCTTTGTGTGGAGTCCGGTCAAACCCTGGTGGCAGCCATGTTTGTTTTTATTATTAGGGGACTCTTGCCCACATAATCGTTTCATGATGTATCAGACATTGCTAAATCTATTCAAACGATCGGTATTTTATGGCCTATTCCATTTTGTTGCAT